GAAAAAATGAACTTGAAAACTTAAATTATTTTGCAAGTTTTATTAAAAAGCTATACTATGGTATCCTAGTCTGCTAGGAAATTGGTCTTGGAATGAAATTATACTATTGATTTGTAGAGAGCATTAGAAGCAAACTGAGAGACACTTGCATTTCCTAAAGTAATGAGAGGCAAAAAACAAAAAACAAAAAAACAAAAACTGAAATGAGGGAGTGCTGTTAGTCATGAGCCACAAACCAGACCTGGAATTTATGTCTGAAAATACTGGGAAAATGCATTTCCTTGATGATGGAGAACTTGTGATTACTTAGAAAATAATGACTACAGGGGTTACATTTAAAGAACCAACCAATTATCTAGAACGGGAAGTAAAGAATTGGTGAAATTGAAGGAAGCCTATAATTGATTGTAATGGCTAAATTTCATTTTTGCCATGTTGATAATGTTCAATCAAGATTGCCAAGAATACCTTGCTACTTAATAGTATTACTTAGACTCTTGAGGGCAAAACAGACCATTTTGTGTGAATCAGAAGTTGCTATGGTTTATAATGAGAGTACATTGTGTAGGTATGCGTAAATGTATTTCAGGCTCCAGCTAATCCCATATCTACATCTTGAGAAATTTAAAAACTGCTTAACAATTACCCACCTCCCGTGATGGAAAGGCAGTGAGTTGACTCTAGCAACCAGGTCTGGGTTGTTAATTATTTGGGGATTGTTGAATTAGGCTGTGTGTCTTTCTGTCCTCCATGCTTCATCCTGCTTCTTGAGTGTTTTGAATTTGAGTTTGTCTTAAGGAGGACCATGGTAATTCCTACTTGTAGCCACTGCATGTCTGTTGTGGAAGACATACGGCTCTTCTTTCAATCAGCAACTTTCAGAGTTCAGCAACTTTTTCAGTTCAAGTGAACTCAACCTTGAACTGTCTGCTATGAGGCAGTTTGTCTAAGGGAGATGACACCTCTCCATCCCTCCAGGTCATTGCTGCTCCACCCCTATGTCATGAGGGCACTCAGAGACTTGTCATCTGTATCTTAGTAGCGCCTTAGCTTCACATTCAGACACGTCTTCACCTTCAATGCTTGCAATGCAATACTCTTGCTTTGTGGTCATCATGAGGAAAAGCCAAGGGAAAAACATCTTTGTATCTATTGTAAAATTGGTGAGAAAACAGTATTAATTTATTTTGCTTAAAGGTTCTTGTAAACAATTAAATTTGAGGAATTCCTTTTAAATTTTTAGTATTGGGCAATCATTTTTCTTACTTAATGAATCAGGATATACTTAATTTCATCAGACAAAGAGAATTCTGAAACTCAAGAGCTTTCCCTTTTGGCCTTAGCTACAAGAAAGCTCAAAGTTCAATTTAATGTTCAATCATAGTAACCCAGTTAGCTTAACTTTTATTTGTTGTACTTTTTACTCTAAGCTATTACAAATGTATACACATGCACACAGGGTTGGAATTGTAATTTGGTTCTGTTCAATTCAGCAACTATTTATTGAGTTACCTAAGCCCTGGTGATTTAGTAGGCTGCGCATGGGGTGCTGCTAACAAGATCAGTAGTTTGAATCCACCAAGTGGCTGGTGAAAGATGAGGCTGTCTGCTCCTATAAAGACTGGCAGTCTCAGAAACTCTAAGGAGCAGTTCTACACTATCTTATAAGGTCAGTATGAGTCCAGAACGTCTAGATGGCAGTAGGTTTGCTTCTCAGTTTTAATGTACATCAGACATAGTAGTAAGTCTTTGGGCTATAAAGAAGAATAAAAGATAGGCACCACCCTTTAAGATCTTATAGTTAATATGCAGAGGAAAAAAATCAGAACTCTACTATGAACTGTAGTATAAACTATGTGTTGTTCTTAGGTAGCAATCAGCTGGCTCTGACTCATAGTGACCCTGTATAGGGTTTCTGAAGTTGTAAATCATTGAGTAGAAAGCCTCATCTTTCCTGTGCAGGGCATCTGGTGTGTTTGAACTGTGAACCTTGTGGTTGGCAGTTCAGTGCTTATCTTACAACAGCACAACTATGTAATAGAAGGTTAATTTTCTGGAATTTGTCAGACAACTTGCAATTTTTCACTTGATTTTATTCATATAGACACAGCTGTAGACATTGGCAAGTTTATAAATTCTTTCAATTTCAAGCATATTTTAAAGCCTAGAGGCAGGAAAAAAAAAAAAAATCTAAGCATGCATCAGAACCTCAGTTCATCATAACAGTAAACGTGAATGAAGAATCCTGAACACCTAACCAAGGTTCTTTCCAGTGAGGCTAAGAGAAACCTGTCCCTCCAGTTTACTCCTTCAATAGGAACAAGGCTATGGCTAGTTTGCTTGTAAGCAACTGGGCCTTGAGGTCTTGGGCCCGGTGGAAGTTGCCTGGAGAAAGAACAAGCCAGATAGCAAGATGGTGGGGTTTCAAGTGGAAAATGAAATGGTGGTACTTCCCCCAGTTAAGACAAACCCTTGGAGGTAGCCAGATATCAGTGTTCTTGAGTCAGACATCTGGCCAAGGGTGCAAACTGTTTGAGGGGCCAGAACCACCTTGAAAGTATTAGAAGCTTATGTCACACTCCGACTGAGCCCTCCATACAATGGGCTCTCCTTGTTTTACATTTAAGGATTGAACAGAGAGACTTCCATTGACTGCTACCCAAATGGTTCATTGTGCAACTCAGTTTTCGGGAGCCTGTTAGGTACAAAGAATTGATTCTTGCCTTAGATAAAATGTGAATTCTGTCATTAAAAATGATAAACCTAGGGACCTTTAGCAAATAAAAGTGATTTCTCCCCATCTATGTTTATTAAATATGTCTTCCAGATGTGCTTATGAAAATGGCGTGATTATTCAGCTGAGGAGTATATGGAATGTTAATTGTTTAATCATGGCTTCAACACCAAGGTTGCATATAATATAAGATAAGGTGTTCTTGCAAATAAACTCTAATTGGCATACATATATTTGATCTCTAACATTTCCCACCACCACAGAATTCCCTTAAGTGTCTATGTGCCTAATTAGCATACCTTTCCTTAGTTTTGAAATACATGTTTCTCTCATAACTGCCCTCATTTCTTTGTAGCATCTTCTATGATTGATCTTGAGATAGGAGTTTAATACTTGATACAGCATATGGAGAGCATGGTTATCATGAGGCCAGGGGTTCTGGTTTGATTCTGTCTGATTCCTTCCTGGTACTCTCTACTGGCTCCTCTTCTCCTACTCTCTTAAATGTTGATGTACTCCTGAGTTCTCTCCAGAACCTGAGCTTCTCATCTACATTTTCTTTCCCTGGGTGATTCCATCCATTTCCAGCACCTCACCCTCCATCCATCTGCACACTGATCACATCCCATCTTCCTATACAGAGAACAACACACAGCCTTACAACTGAAGTTTAGATACCAGACTGGGATAGGTATATTTCCTGAGGACACCAGGAGACTAAGATATGGTAAGACTAGGCGATGAAATACATTAGATGTTCCATATCTGTCTTCCTTGGAGAATGTATAAGCATCAAAGTTGTACTCCCTGCTGTGTATGGAGAGAATGCTTATGGATCCAGGGACATGAAGACCACTTAGGATAGGTGTATTCCCCATCCATTGGCTCTGCTGCCACATGGATCCTTAGGTGCTGGTAGCCTTCTTTCATTGTCACATCTTGAGTCAAGATACTGCAACTGAGGCACAGAGAAATCCTTTACCCTTCTGAATTCAGCAACTTGTTTGGATAACATCTTTGGCATGGAGAGTAGATATATAACTCACTTTCCAAGATAAAAACTGAGCTTTCATCAGAGTAGTTTCCAAGTATACAGCTGCCTACCATTTTTTAGTTATTAAGCTGTACTTTCTATATTGCAAAACTCAGGCAGGAGCTCAATTAAAAAAAAAAAAATCACAACCATTTTAATAGGATTAGTAGATCCTACAGGGAATGAAAGGATCCCTGGTAGTGTGTATTGGTTAAGTGCATGGCTGCTCAAACCCAAGAGAAAGATGTGACAATCTGCTTCTGATAAAATTACAGCCCTGAAAACCCTAAGGGGTCATTCTACTCTGTCCTATAGGGTTGCTATGAGTTGGAATTGCCTGCAGTGGGTTTCTTTTTTTGGTGGGACAGGGAATGAGGAAGCTGGTATGTTGATGGTATGTAGAAAAATTTCATTGCCTCTAAATCTACATATTAAGCCAATATCACTTTGCAAATCTGACTTTGTCTTTGTTTACTGAAACAGTAGCTTAAATTCTTGAATATATTTTTTTCAATCAAGAGAGCTTGAGTCACCGTTGATGAACAAATGCACCATTTCTGAGTAAACGAGTATGAATCATGAACATGTAAACACAATCGCCCCCAGAATGTGCAGGTGGATACAAATAATTTATATGGTTCTTTGATTAAAAGAGATTACTTAGATTCATCTTAGTCATAAATTAGCTCATTAAATGTTGTTTAATCCCATATCTTTTCTAAACTTAGTGTAGGTGTGACAATGCAATGTAACAGACTTTCTTATTCAATGGGCAAAGCCTTTTGCATGGCATGATGTTGTTCCAAGAACTGATGAATCAAGAACATATATAAATTGGGCATTCCATTATAATACTAGTCATCAGGAAGCACATATTACTCATCAGGATGTAGAATGTAACAGTTCTGCTCATCTGACATCATATAAATTATTTAACCAACAAAATTCATAAGCAACATAATTGGAAAACTTTTTTCAAATGAGCATGTTTAAGGACAGGCTATGGAAGATACAAACTTCAATCACATCTGCTCGTTCCAAAGAGCCTCTTTCAATAATGCTTTTGATATTTTTTCCTTACATAGCACATAGTATGAAATTATATGACAGTCTGACAATTTTAAAGAACACTATATGCTAATCTACTTAGGGCATCTGTTTGAAACATTAACATTAGGAAACACAAACCTATTCATTGTCTCTCCTCCCACCCCCATCTTTTTGTTATTTTAGACAAACAAAGGTGATGCACTTGCCAGCCGAGTCCAGAACACGCTGGGGAACTATGATGAAATGAAGGATTTGCTAACTAACCATTCTAATCAGAACCATCTAGTGGGAATCCCAAAGAATTCTGTGTCCCAGACTCCCATCAACAAAAATGAACCAAGCTTTTTTCCAGAACAAAAGAACCGAATGATCTCACCTCACCAGGATAATACCCACTCCTCAACACCAATGCCTCCACCTTCTGTTGTGATACTGAATTCAACTCTAATACACAGCAACAGAAAATCTAAGGGTGACTGGTCACGAGACAGCCCTAACCCCAACACTATACCAGCAAGCCAGGCCAGTAACCAGCCAAGCAAGATGCAAACCTCTCTACAGGACCAGCCCCAAGCCAGACTGGAAGATTTCTTTGTCTACCCAGCTGAACAGCCCCAGATTGGAGCAGCTGAAGAGTCAAACCCATCGAGAAAGGAAGACAGTAATCCCAAATCCAATGGAGAGGAGACTTTCAAAGAAATCTTTCAATCCAACTCACCAGGAGAATCCGAATTTACAGTGCAAGCGCCTGGGTCTCCCCTAGTTGCCTCATCTTTATTAGCACCCAGCAGTGGCCTTTCAGCTCAAAACTTCACACCAGGACTTTACTGCAAACCAAGCATGGGACAGCAAAAGCCAACTGCATATGTACGACCCATGGATGGCCAGGACCAGGCACCGGACATCTCACCAACACTGAAGCCTTCCATTGAATTTGAGAACAGTTTTGGGAATCTGTCTTTTGGGTCACTCTTAGATGGAAAGCCCAGTGCAGCCAGTACAAAGACAAAACTGCCAAAGTTCACGATTCTTCAAACAAATGAAGTAAGTAATTTTAAATGTTTTGTTTTTCTGTTTTGTTTTTGGTTTTGGTTTTGAATTCACTGCTCTAACTTCTCTAAGCAAGCATTCACAAACAGCTTGTTTACCTTATTGAACCATATCTGAGACTCTTCAAGGTCTGGTTCTTGATCCTCCCTTACTGTGACATGACTGATTAACACTCAACAAATAATGCAGAATGACCAAAGACAAGGTCAATCTCCATGAATGGAAATTTGGATGTATAAAGTAGCTTCAAAAAATGATTTGTGGTACTCTTATGTACAAATTAATACACTTTTCGATTCTAATTTGTGCTAAGTATGAGTTTCATGAAAAGATTGAGCCATCCGTAGGCCTTCATTAGCTAATGGTATAGTATAGACATATAAAGCAGAAGTTCCTTAAAGTTCAAGAACATACAACTGTAATTTGCTGGAACCAGAAGTGGAAGGTAGTCTTTAAGGATCTGACTTTCTCAAGTATTTGCAGGGCTATGTCTTGCCAAGATTTTAGATTGTCTTCTCTATTCTCCAATCTTCCATTCTATAGCACCGTCTTTCACAAGCATAGGCAAAAACCTCTTATGTACATAGCCCCTGACCCCTTCTTTCAAAACAAGAGGCATTATGCTCAACCAACATCTAAAGGTCCTACTTCTCTTAATATTCATTGCCTTATAAAAGAGAAGCTTGGAGGGACCAAAGCCTCTCCCAAAAGAATGAATCATTAACAGTTGGATTCTGGGCCTGGTGGCCATTAAGTGGGGAACATGTATGGTGCTGCCCCTTAGATACCACCACGTAAGCAGCTGCCTATTGTATATCAGGAACTTTATTGGAAGAAGCTACTGTCTTTAGATTGGGACCTCTTACTGGTTGATTAAAGGCTTGGGAAGACACAGAGGAAGAAAGTACTTGAAATTCTTGCTCAGTAGGAGTCTGAATTGTTGCTGATTCCAACTCAGAGATTTCAGAGGACAGTGGGAACTCAAAGAAAGGGGAGACTGGGGCTGTTGGTTGTATTTTCTGAACATATGCTTTTAATATTTTTTCCCTTTGTTAGGCAACTTTGGTTTTTGTATCATTATTCATCAAGTCTTGTCAAGTTTCCTTCCTAAGGATCTCTCAAGTCTGTCACTTCTCCATCTTCACTGCCTCAAGCCTTTCTGTCCTGGACTGCTGTGGCAGTCCCTCCTCACTGGTCTCCCTCCCTCAAGTCTCACATTCCTTCCAACCCATCCTCCATATAGGCACATTGAACTGGCAGAGCTGATCATGTCACTTTCTTCTTTTAAGTCTTTGCTGCCTTCTTATAACGTCCAAGGAAAAGTTCAAATGTCCAGCATATAAACATCTTTCCTTCTGGTTTCATTCTCCCTTTCCAGTCTCATGTCTCACCACTTCTACTTACGTGGATTCAATCCTAGACACATGGAATTCCCCATGACTTCCCAACATGGCATGCCTTATCACACTTCCTTGCTTTTGTGCCTGTTGTTCCCTCAGCCAGGAATGTCTTCCTTCCTTGTCTTCCTCCCCCTTGTCTTCCTGGTGAAACTGCTTCTCCACCATGTCTGCTCAGTTGTCACTTTCTCTATGAAAGCTTGCCTGGTTTAATTACCAACTGCTTCCTCTAGTGTCCTCTGTTGTTATGAAGTGCTGTTGAGTCAGTTCCAACCCATAGCGACCCTGTATAGGGTTTTTGCGAAGCAGCTGGTGAGCTTGAACTGCCAACCTTGCAATTCAAACGGCTTTGCAGTCTGGCACATTAACCCACAGCGCCACACCTTGACTGGCAACCTCTTTTGATGTTGTTGGCTGACATGTCTGTCTTCTCCACTAGACTGTGTGCTCCTTGAAGGCAAGGACCATACTTTCTGTAGCTCAAGTGCCTAGAAAAACTCCTGGCATGTAGTAGTTACTCAGTAAATGTTAAACGAATGCTTTTAAAAAATTGTTACTTTATAGACATTTCCAGCCACGACATTTCAAATAACATGAACAATGATAAATGATAGAAAAAAAAAAAAAAAAATCCATCCTTGATTGTCTTTCTTTCCTTGTAATTTGTCTATATCTTACTTTGCTCTCTTGCCACAGAATTATTTAGAAATCCCCATTTCAATGGGATAATGTAATGCAGGAGTTTGGTACTTTAAAAGCCATGAGATCTGCTGTGAAAGGGAGGTTGGGATGTCATTCTTGTTCCTCATTTTTTTCCCTGGGATCAGCTGTGCTGCCTTCTCAGGGCTGCTTTGCAAAGAGCATTACTCCAGAATGCCTTCTGCTAGTCCATTTCCATACCTCGCTAGTAGAGTGACAGATCACAGCCACAATGAATGAGATCCACTCCTGTTGACATTCACAAAACAGTTGACCCACATTTAGAAATGACTTTGTATTTCCCTGTGGTGGTCCAGCATACCAGCAAAAGATTCATTTTTTAGAGGGTCTGAGCTGCCACCAATTCTGGAGGTGCTTTATACAAGGAACACCTTAGGTGTGTGCAGCCTTTGAAGACAGTTTGTAGAGCCAAACAGGAATAATGGAAAAGCAAAATGAGTCAGGCGTAATAAAAGTAGGATAGGAAATTAATGAAGAGAGTTTTTCGTTAACAGTGTAGGTCTCAAGGAAGGATTTGAAAGAGAGATAGAGAGAAGCTTAGGGCCCTCAAGTCATGGACATATACAGGCTTCAAGGGTAGTATTGTTATTGTTGTTGTTATGAAGTGCCTTTTTAGTCAATTCTGACCCTATATAGAGTTTTAGCTACATGGCAGAGTAGTCCAACATGTCCATAATACAGAGTACTAGCTACATGGCAGATGATTCCAACATGTCCATATACTGACCCTGTATATAGTTTTGAACAGCCAACCTTGTGTTCAAACCTACCTTGCAGTCCAGTGCATTAACCCACAGTGCCACACCAGGACTCAAGGGTAGTGAGACAACCAAAAATAGAGGGAAAGGAAATGAGAGGTTAGACAGCCCAACAGAGAGCTTAGAAAGGGGTGGGTGAACATGCAGACTTAAATAGAGACAGGGTGGAACACAATGGGCATAAGACCCTAATGGAGTGTATATGGGGGAAATTCTGAGCAATTCTGATCAGTCAGTCACCCAATTCAATCAAGATACACTTTTCCAAAGTACTTCACATTAGAATTTAGTACCAGTTCCTGGTGCCAAGGTCCCAGGCGTTGGATTCTGGGTCCTTAGTCAGTGTGGCCATCTTCTGTGATTGGGAGCATTATTATCAAAAATGTTTATCCTTAGACAAATCCCTGTATTTCTGGGAGCATTCCCAGCTCTTTCCTTGAGTCTAGTGACAGAGGCAGACAGATGTGTTAGTAAGGTGCATTGTGAGTGGCTACTGGGAAACAGCATTCTAAAATATGCGTTTAAGTATGTTAGATTATGTGATTTGACCTTTCACAAGCCATTGAAATGTGCATTCATGTTTATTTATATGTTTACACATATATGTCTAGAAAAATAATTTTACTTATTTTTTATCCCTGCAACATTTCCTGGCATCTTAGCATTTCTCTCTGAATAATAACACTGCAAGTTTAACCAACTGTATTGCATGAGGCTAACTTTTCAATTGAGATGTTTTATTTAGACAAAGAACTCGTTTTCTTAGAAACTTGATGTTACAGAATTTAGTGCCATTCGAGAAACAACAAACATCCAAAGGATGGCTGTGTTCTGGGAAACTGCATTTGAAAGTACTAAAAGACCTATTCATATCAAGTAAAATCAGAAATGAATGTGTTAATAAATGTAGCTGTATACATGGCTACATATATAAAGAGAAACAGGGTCTTTTGTTTATTCTTACCTTAGGATAAAAATCTGCTGGTGTCAAGAGCCTTGGATTTTGGTGCAATTTGTTATTAGAATCGTTTGGCAAGTAAATAATCACATGCAAATGAAAGGATCAATGGCATGTATTAAGTGTCTCCATCCTCCTAAGTCAATAAGCTTTTAAAAGGACAATACTAATGTGTAGAGTGTCGTTGCCATAAAAGGGCCATTTGCTTTAGACGTTGCTCTTGACTGCCATCTAAGGCTATCAGCAGCTTCCATTTACTCAAAACTCGGAGCCCCCTGGAAAAGTTTAATGGAACCCATATGGATGATGGGATTGGGCTTTCACTTATTTTAGTGACTAGCTTTCTCAACCAGTTGAAAAATTATTGTACACATTTGTGTCTATGCCAGTTTTGTTGTCTGTCCTGTGCTGTGAACACTGCGGGGATATGGATAGGAAGCTCAGGTTCCTGTGCAAAAACTTCTGAGAACTCTCCATTCGTGTCCCGGGTATGCTTGTGCAGTTCCACAGAAAGGCAGTTTCTTCAAAAAACAGAGAATCATCCAGCTACTATGTGCAACCCAGTTTTCACTTGAAATATTTTCCCATTATTCATGTATTTTTTTTTCTTAATTCTTATGAAAATAAAATACTATTCAGCCCAAGACTATCAATGGCCTAGTTTCAAAACCACCAGGAATGTTGTTAGGAGGGATCCATTCCTGGAGAGGGACATCATGCTTGGGAAAGCGTACGGTCCATGAAAAACAGGAAGACTCCCAGTGGGATGGATAGATTGGCACAGTGGCAGCAGCAATGGGCTCAAGCGTAGCAACAATTGTGAGGTTGGTGCAGGACCAGTAGTATTCACAATGACGTGGTACTGACTCAATGGCACCTAACAACAACAGCAGGAATGAATTGAGACCCCTTGCCAGTTCCTCACCTGGTGTTGAAGTATGCCTTTTGACAAAGTCTTCCAACTGCTTGATCTGGTATTCCATTCATTTCCCATGCCAAACCTCTACATCTTTCCCCTAACTTTAGTGTCAACCTAAGCTAAAATGACACAAGAGAAAGATAAAGTTACCTGCTCCTGTAAATTTTTTCAGTCCCCAAAACTCTATGGGACAGTTCTTCCCTGTTCTACAGGGTCTCTATGAGACAGAATCGACTCGATGG